TATATATATATATATACTATATATATATATATATATATATATATATATATATATATATATATATATATATATATATATATATATATATATATATATATATATATATATATATATATATATATATATATAGTTCAATACATATACATATATATGTATATATAGTATATAAGCATGGCGTATTTATATAAATGTGTCTGTCTGTGTCTGTGTCTCTGAGTGTGTGTATGTGTGTCTGTGTGTGTTTGTTTGTATGTTTGTGTGTTTATCTGTATGCATGTGTGTGTGTGTATTGTTTGAGTCCTCAGTAAACTCTGTCGCGATTTAGTTGACGAATGTTTCAACTTTACGTGATACAATCGACATGCACATCATATATCTCTCGCAAGAACAAGCGCTGGTAGACTCATACACGCACACGCCAATACACAGGGCGGTAATATTGTTGTAATGACAGAGATGGACGCCGAGGATGGCGACTCTTTCTCGTGGGAACTCGTGAAGCGAGGCTACGCACGTGTTGCGGTACTTAGAGGGGGCATGGACTGTGTTCGTGGTGCTACAGAAGAGTACACAGTCAACGCCATTTACGAATCAAATGGGGCACGCTCGCCTATTACTAGCAGCACCCGATCCACACAGTCTCACTCCCGCACGCTCTCTCCGTCTGAGCTATTGCAAACGAGCGCCGCGAATGCGCTACGCACTTCGAACTCTACCACGGATTCAACCGGCGCAAATGCTTCAACTAGTGCTCAAGCTCACGGTCGTGGTACTATACAGCGTTCGAGTTCGGGTGTGCAGCACACGTATCGGACAAGCGGGCAAGGAGGGTGGGATGAGAAAGGGGTGGGCAGCAGGCGGCCACGTAGGCCTGGCAGGGTGATGTGCTCGTGCTATGCGCCGCTTACCAACGCCGTTACATCTGTGAGAGGTGCCATGCTCCGACAGTGCGAGTACTATAAGTAATCTTGAGTTCAGCTCTACTTTGGAGTTAGAATGTTCATCTGTCCATAGCATAAGCTTCCATGTAAAGAGAGGGTAGGCAGCTGGAGGCCATTTTAGACTGACACTGTGTCTTTTTCCCATTCTTTGCAGAGTTCACTCATACTGTTTCATGATGAGGCGGTATTAGTTCCGACGGTGCGAGTATCATAAATTAGTTTCTTGCCTGTAATATACACAGTTTGACAATATATTTGATGAAAGGTGGAGCATCTACTCATCGTCCCCGCAGATGGCTGCCTGAACTGTCGGTATAAAATCTTTCTTACGTGACACTAGATTGCCGATATTCAATACTAGCTCCTTATCAGTGCTCACTTGGGATTTGAATGCTTCGATAGCCACTTCCATCTCATCCTCAGAAATAAGTATTAAATTAGTATTCAAGTTTACAATACCAACAATCGACAGAAAAGCGTACTTTGCGTCTTTCTCTGTTTTCAACTTTTTCATAGAATCTGAGAGGGCTTGCTTGCGAGCCATCATTGAGGAGGGGTCAGTTGTTTCTACGGTGGCCCAAACAAGCGTATGACCACACAGGTCAGAGACTTTGGTGTCTGCCCGTACTACCTCGTCGTCATCGAAATTGTTGAATCCATTCGCTTTGGCTTTAAACATTGCGTCGGCGTATGTATTAACGTCTTTCGTGTTCGATTGCCTTGCGAGGCATGAAAGTATCATTTTGTCGAGCTCCGTTGTAGTAGGAGAATTCAAATTCAGTGTATCCCAGATAATTGCGCTCATCAATATACCTGCTACGTCTTCGCTCATTGGTTTGTTCGCCGAACCGTAGTAGCTCGCAACAATGGTGTAAGCACTTCCCACCGGCCGAATATCTATTCGGATGGGTTCATCAACTACCACGGTGCTGGACTGCAGTGCGTGATGGTCCACAATACCTACTATACGATTTGTGTCTAGGTCTGCAGGTAGTTGTGAGATTTGGTTCACATCCACAAGACATATCTTGTTGTCAGGAAGGTCACCGATGTATTCGGGGTCGGCTAGATTATACTGTCCCAGCACCCACTTCGACTCATCGTTCATTTCACTTGAACGTCCTGCGATACCATCGAAAAGGTATGCGGCACCTATAGCCCCAGCGATAGAATCTGTATCCGTGTTCAAGTGACCTGTCCATGCACATCCCTTTACTTTTTAGAGGAACATGTCCAATTCCAGCGTGCCAATAGGGTTCTTTTATTGATTGAAGCACTCATCCAGTGCCTTGGGCTCTTGCCGCAATGTCCGGCTCGGGGCTGCATTTACGTAAACGCGACTGGCAACAGTGAGGGTTGCTACTTTACATACAATAGAGAACATCGTATTCGATAGGGCAAATGTCCGTCGTCTGTATTTTTCGGAGATAAATTGATATGAGTTAGAAGATTTATTGAACCCTCTCTTATATACATGTCATCGGATATCATCATATAATATCGTAGTGTTACATAGCGAAATGTATTGTCTCTACTCTTTTACCAGGCCAGAATGAGAGAGGTGCACTCACTGTACTGGCAGACATACCTTCCAGATTGTTTCTTAAAAACAATCTACATAAGCTCATTGTTCACTCTAGTTTACTCTGGAATCCTCTTCTGAGTTCTCAGTTCTTGGAGTCTGGAGAGTGGAGAGCTGGATACAGACCTGAGTTCTGAGTTCTCAGTTCTCAGTTCTGAACTTCTGAACTTCTGAGTTCAGTGAGTTGTGAGTTTTTACATAAGAGTTCTCTGTTCAGTGTTTGAGAGTTCTGGAGTCTGAACTTCTGATTTCTGTAGTAGGGACTGAGTTGGGTGCTCCTAGAGTACGGCTGCCCTGTCCTCTAGGATTGGGACTGGACTACATATGTTCCCCTTTGGATTGCACCCACCTTTGACTCGTGGGTGAACTGGAAGAAGAAAAGGTGGATTAGAATTGGACTACATTAGATGTCAAGTTAGAAAAGTCGACTGCCTTTTGACATAGGTCTTTGGATGAACTAAATATAAGTCTCGAGACAGTCGCTGGTAACTATGATATGTTACTGTACTACATTCTGTGAGAATACTATACTGAGACTTTGAGATTTCAGAGTTGAGAGTCTGAGACCGGAGTTCTCACTTCTCTTATGTACTGTAACTTCTGTATCAGTCTGAGTTTGAGTTTGACTAGGATAGTTTTTACTTTTCTGACTTCTCAGTTCTCAGTTCTAAGTTCTGAGTATCAGATTCCTATGTCCCTGACGGAGTGACGCCTCACGGAGTCACGCCTTGTGTCCACTACTCTACTCTCCAGTCACCACTGTGTCCAGAGTCCTGCTGAGTGCTGACGGCAGACTCCTGTTTCAGCTGTTCACAGTGTTCAGAAGTTCAGTTCACTGTCCTGGCTGTCCTGAGTGTCCTCACAGTCGCTCCTTGTTACTAGAGACTCACTACATATCCAGTATTCTGTGAGTGACGGGCACTTGGAAAATTGAAAACCATACACGTTTCATACATATGTATGTATAATTGACAGAGTACAAGTGTATTACTTTTTGTATTTGATTTTTTTTAAAAAACAATCGATTCCTTGTCTCAAAGATTAGATCCTCAGAATTTTAATTCAAGAGCAGGGAGTACTCAGTTAGCTGCACAGCCGGGAATCAGGATGCTATATGTACATACTATTTACTACCTTTTTTTCTTTTTTAAATATACTAGTCTAAATAAATCGACGATGCCAAATTCAATAGTATATAAGCATAATGTCGCTGCTTATACTATGCATCATCAACTGGATAGCACACTATTTATACTAACCTACTACAAGAGCGCATCAAAATGAGACTTGACACAATTACTTTGCCGGTGACTCAATACCCCCTCCTGCAACAACCGTCAGTACTTTCTTCTTCTGGAGGACGCCTCGATATCGATCTCACTGTGAGCGCCGGTAAGGTACAGGGACCATTTGGCATAACATTCAATAGTAGACTGTATAATAATGCGTATCCAGCTCCGACTATCCGCTGTCGAGCTGGAGATACGGTATGGGTCAAACTCAACAATGTATCACAGGACAACAATGCAACCCGAGAGAGTGAGATGTCGCTGAACGAATTACACCACCCGAATAGTACGAATCTACACCTTCATGGTATGCATATATCATCTGAAGGACGCCAGGAAAATGTGGTATTAACTGTAGACCCAGGATTTTCATTTCAGTACGTCTATGAGATAACCCCGGAGCATCACTCTGGAACATCCTACTACCATCCTCATTTGCACGGTAGCACGAACCTTCAGGTGCACGGGCTAATGGCTGGTGCTTTTATCGTGGGCGATGATCCAAAGATATCACCACAGGAATTGCTTGCCATGGATGACTTGGTAGTCATTGTGCAGGGCATTTACTTGGGCAATAGTGAAGCCTTTTAAAAAACATGCGATCATAACGGAACCAGCAATATGCCCGTGGAACTTCGAAATCCCGAGCAGGTGTCAGAAAATCTGTTGATAGTAAATGGTCAGTACTTGCCGCGGGTCGAATTCAAGATAGGGTGGGAGAGAATCAGATGTTTTTATTGGAAAAGATAAAGATTGTGTATCGATTCGGCCCCAGAGTAATAGTCCAACCCGGTAATAGTTCTCGCGATCACTAAAATAATTTCTTCGGTATAACATACATCTTCCAGTTGGGTTTGATAATCACACAATCAGATAGCTAGAGGTTCTTACAGCTATGGGAGCTTTGCTTATAAGTCTATTTAAATACACTTTTTCGTCAACCGCAACCTCATCGTGCTTACACTACTTATTGGATGAACAAACTATGGGCTAATATACCATCACTTTCGAATATTATAAATTATTATCATTACCACAAAAATCAGCGTGAAATGGCCTTGCGTAGTAGCACAAAAAAAGCATGCCGGATACCCCATTTTAACACAGCCAAGTTTTCAGACGAATTCAGTGTGCAATCGCTTCGGCGAGCTTGGCTAAAGTTTACGATTAGTGTTGTGCTGTATAAGCCGGGTTGATGGAAATGGTACGGATGTCTGTACCATAAGCGTCCAGAGGATTCCCAATTAGGGATCCTGTTCTACTAAACCTGTGTTGTAGACTTTAATGGGCATTGTGGTTGTAAAAGACTTTGATCCAAATTGTCGGTTTTCTAAGTTTAGAAAGTAAAGAAGTGAGGACTCAAAAGATGAGCCCTGAATATTTAAATACATCGCCTCCTAGATATATTGACCTATTTCTGAAGGACGGAGAGTAGCGAACTGCGGATTTGCACCGCTGATGTATTTTGTATTTATGAAACATAAAAATGGTAAAGCACCTGAAATAAATGGCTAAGTGACCAATAGAGTTCACATATTTTTACGTGCAATTATAATTGGTTGTGCTTTTACACATATGTGTAAATATATAGTACCAATAAGCTTTAAGTACAGTATATACAGCGTATTACAGCGGAGACCAAGCACTATCGGACCATGTGTTATACAATTGTTCATAGATCTGATGTAGTGATCTTTTGCGAATGGATATCTGATTGTGAGGAATTCCAAGAGTAACATCCCAAGCACATATCGGAAACCTCTGAGGCTCCGAGCTGGTATTTCTGTACTGGATTTAGTACTTAGATGTTTTGTACTGGATTTAGTACTAGAATAATTTTGTACTGGATTTAGTACTAAAATAATTTAGTACTGGATTTAGTACTAAAATAATTTAATAGTATTCGAGTTGTCGTATATATATTGCAGTTGTACCTGTAAACTAGTACATAGATTTTCAAGCCATGACATCCCCCTCACGAAAGAAGTGAGTGATGCTAGTGAAGAGCGAGCCTGTCCTTCTTAAGATGCCAGTCGCGTGGTAGTGGCGATAGTATTCGTCTTATGTTTGCGCCTCATATTGTTGTATAAGTTCTGTTGAGTGGAGATATTTCAGTGGAATCCAAAGGGGTTCTTGTACATTGTGCAGCCGCACTTGATACTCTATCTCGATGTGGCCAGGGCATGGATGTATGCGTTTGTCGAGTATCTCGACAACTTCGTCTTCGTCGTCGTCCAAAGTGTTGAAGTTGTGGGTGTCACCTTCCAAATCAGGTAATTCGTCAATTGTCGCGTAGACTGTATAAATACGAGGGCAGTCTGCTTTCAAATTATCGATATTATGTTGATGTGTAGATCCTGTTATAGGGTCGAGTAGTTTGTAGCTATCATCGCTGACAGGATGTAACACTTTATACGGTCCTTGCCATTTATGTAACCACTCGCGTTTAAAATTCAGATTCTTAGGTTGTTTATGGACTCGAACTAGAACCATGTCATCTGCTTTGATCTTGCGTACTGGTCTAGTTCTTTTGGGCGTGTCCAATTGCTTATGTGTCAGCCTGTTTTTGTATTACTAATTTTTGAAGCCAGACCTGTGTGTCGTTCTGCCAAGTACGATTGGCTTCTAATGTCAAGGCCGGAAATTCTGGTGGCTCACGACTATACGCAAGTGAGTATGGTGAGCAACCAGTCCCAGAGTGTTTCTGGGAGTTATAGGCGTACTTTAAATATGGAAATAGCTCATCCCAGTCAGTATGTGTATGACTATTAAAATTAGGAAACATATTATTATAATTCCCATGGATTCGCTCAACTACTGAGTTACTTTGACCATATTTGTATTGAATATTTTGGTCGTTTCCTTCACTATTTCTGAAAGAAAGTCAGCACCGCGGTCACTAATAGGTTCATGTACGGCACCATACCTAAGCAATATATGCTTGACGAATAGGTGTGCAATTGTGATACCTATTTTGTCTATTGTGGGAAATGCCTCAATGTATCTACTATATTTACATATAAATGAAATAATATACTTATTGCCTTTTAGCAGTAGTAGGCAGTGGGCCTTGAACGTCGACATGACATGATTCAAACAAGTCAGGTACTGATAAATCCAAAATTGGAGGTCTGTTTTTCATATTGGTATCGGATTTTAGATTTTAGATGCTTGCAAGTTGTACATAATAGTGCATGTTTTGAAGATCTGCGAACATCTTTGGCCAATATGCTGTGCGTTGTAAACGGTAATATGTACCATTGATGCCCTGATGACCTGCTTCTTAGCATCATGTGCCCATAACAGTTGTTCTTGTCTTGGACTTTCAGGCATATATGTTTGCCGAGGAAACAAGCCTTTGGTGTGACGTAGCACGCCAAATCCGTCAATTTCACAGATTTGCGATTTGCGATGTAGATTCCGAATAAATCAAGTGCTCTTCTTGAAATGATTTTTTTTCTGTAACATTGTAGTTCGAGGATTATCTTTAATATATTTAAAATAGTCAATTATAGATTTGAGCTTATCATCTTGATTCTGGACTTGAATAATAGCGTCCAATTGAGAACCAGCGTGTTTGAGTGCTGTGATTTGTGCAGTACGTATAGGATGCAAGTGACCTATGTTTGCTATTGACCATTTGGGGTTATATTTTCGATAATTATCATGAAAATATGCTAATCGACTAACAGCATCTGCTTGTATGTGAGTACTGCCGTCTTTGTATTTTATAGTCATATCGTATTCTTGCAAGTCTACAGACCAACGTAGTAGACCCTCGTTCTGCATCTTCTTCGACTTCATAGATAGGGATAATATTATTTATTTCAAAAGAGTTGAGTTACAATGTTTGTACATATGGTATGGCTCTCATAGCCGTTGTAGTGGTTCGGGGAAGATCGATGGGAAGAAGTGGTCAGTAAATTCCCTGTTTATGATCAGTATGTACTTCAAATGGTCTGCCTTGAACGTAGCGATGACCATCCTCTATGCAGGCCCATAATATAACGTTCGCTTCTTAAATTGAAATATGCCAGTGGCGTTCATGTATTTTGAATGCTTTTGAGTAATAAGCGATAGTTCGTTCTTGTTCCACACCATCTTTGGTCTATAACCGAATTATAACAACCTGCACTGACATCACAGGCATCTGCTTTTAGAATGAAAGGTTTTGTAAATAACCAGGGAATGCAAGTGCCTCAGTACTCAGAGCAGCTTTGAGGTTTTTAAAAGTCTCGCGCATATCTTCTGTCCATGTGATTACCGTGCGTTTAGTTTCTGTTTTTTTTTCATTTTTGTGCCTTTCATGGACTGATACAATAGACTAGCGATACGAGCATAGTCTTTGATGAATTTTCTGCTGTAATTAGCAAGTCCTAGGAATGATTGCATGTCATTTACATTTGATGGTTTAGACCAGGCTAGTACTTGCTGGTAACGTTTCGGGTCTATTTTTACACCCTCACGTGTGGCAATATGTAATATGTCAAGTTGTGGTGCCCCAATTTTGAGCTTAGATCCCTTAAATAGTTGTAGTGAAGTGAAAGCGTGATCTAGCTGATCAATCAAGTCGTTGAATCCGACTGGACTACTCCAGCCATTGTCAACATAACAATTAGTTTTCCTTACTGGTTGTAGTAATGGTGCCGTGGCCTTGCAAAATAAAGCCGCACTTTGTTTCAAACCCATAGGTAATGCCCTGTATTGAAATTTCATAACAGATGCAGTACTGAAAGCGAGATATTTGCGTGATTCCTTGTCTATCAAGACACTCCCAATATGCTTGCTTGATGTCAAGCTGGCAAAATATTGGGCGCCGGCAAATTCATCAAAAATATGTTTTATAACAATTAAAGGCCAGTCTTTAGACTTGAGGCTTTCGTTTAATTTTCGGAAATCCGCAACCAGTCGCCATTTACCTGTCTCCTTCTTGGATACGATTAGGCACGGGTTATTATATGGTGAGTCGCACAGTTCGACTATGTTTTTAGCCAGCATCGCTTTGGCAATAGTCTCGTATGCTTCCTCTTGTATTTTACTGGGAGGGTATTATCTAATGTAGATCGGGTCATCATGTTCCAATTTGATCGGTGGTTGATCAAGAAAGTTGTGATCCTTCTCTGAAGGATCAAATAGCTTGTAATACTTTTTAAGCAGATCTTCGATTTGTGCTTTTTGCTCTGATGTTAGACCCTCGTGATGTTCGAAACCCAAACGGAGCAATTTTGCTCTAGTCTCTGCATCTTGAGGAATGTCTTGCATTATGTGTACATTTTTGTGATTTAACAGCTCTTTAGAAATGGCTAGATAGAATTTTTGCTTCAGTGTTCTTATCGCATGAGGTATATATTTGAGTATCAGTGAGATTCTCAATTGTACCTAGTGGTGTATTGTGCAATCTCAAGACCCGGCCAGTAATGTTCGTGACCATCGCTTTGAATGTACCTTTTCGCCGAGAGCCCTTAATCAAACTAGGGGCAAATTAATGCTTAGTAGCTTCCGTTGGTGTAATTACACACTTTGTGAAGTATGCGGTAATATAGTTATATTTACAGCAATACGTGCTAATCCTAATATGTTCTTGGCTTTAGACGCAGTGTCACCTTTCAGTTTAAATATTTGTCTGACATACGGGGTCTTGCCCCCTGTGAACAAGATATTGTAAAAAAAAATTTGAACAATAGTCAAGCTTGACATGTTTGTCAAGCCAATCGCTTCCTAGTAGTACATCACATTGTGGATCAGGGACATTAATCACTGCCCTATAAATATGTATGAATTGATAACCATGTATCTTGCTACGTATAGTAACCTTATATCGAGACCCTCAAGTGCCGAGCCCGTGGCTGGAGTATTCCTGAACTTCAGGCATAGTGATAGTGCACACTCCAAAGCTGGTATAATCGTGTGCCCATAGTTCTGATGGAGTAGTTCAAGGAGCTCATCGTCATCCACCAATTCCCGAGTGGCGTCCTGGCGATCACCCTTCTCCATTGCATGATTAGGGAGGGTACGCACAGCAGTGTGCGACATGTTGGCTCTGGGTTGGCCGAAGTAACCAGCAAAGATAGATGCCACATGTTTCAAGAATTTCTTGAAATCAAAAGGGTCGATATCCGCAGGAATCTGGAAATTTGAGAACTCCAAAGCATAGTCTGCGGCTCGAGGATGGGAGAAGGCCCTCATCTTGTAATCCTTGGTTTGTAAAACCTTGGTCAAAGCTCCCACATTCCCCGGAAAGAAGTTTTCAGCAATTTCCAAACATAAGGCCGAATCTTCGCGTCAATCTCAAAGAGCAGCTCCGTGTTTGAATCATTTGGATCACCATGCTGGCTCCTCTGATAGTACACGAAACCGCGACTTCACGCTTCGCCCTTTCGTGAGGGGGATATCATGACTTGAAAATCCATATATACGACAACTCAAATACTATTAAATAATTTTGTACTGGATTTAGTACTAAAATAATTTAATAGTATTCGAGTTGTCTTATATATATTGCAGCTGTACCTGTAAACCCATGGATTTACAAGCCATGATAATTAGTGATGTATACATTGAAGCTTGCGTGTCGGTAGACTGGTCTGTTAAGCATATAATGATAGTCGGCCTGAGTTCAATTGGCACAAATAGATACAAGCTAGGATCGCCATATATTATAGAGATAGGATGGTTACAGTTCGTTTGCAAAGAATGCAAAACGTGCGTGTGTGAATGTAGGTATGTGATAGTATATTAAAAAAAACGATGTTGTTTGGAAGCGTGGAGTGCGAAAGAGAAGTCTGCTCCACGACAGTCTCTTGATTATCGTGTATTATGTGGGTTGAATTTTAGTCGACCTTTTACATCTGCTGCTATGAAATGGTAAGCTTCGACATCACCGTTTGGGTATGGTCTTGGTTTTTCATACATTCCAGCCTATAGGTGAATATTGTGTCTTTATTTTACATCTGCTGTTGTGAAGTATGATTTGCGCATGCAGACTTTTAAATGGAGTGCCGGCAGTTGGCTTTTAAATTCATTTAGCTTAAATTCGATATAGCTTGGTATTAAAATATAACAATCACCATAGATCACATGGTACGACTGGCCGGCGGATACATGGACACCACGTGCGTCGATATTTTCTATCAGAAGTATCTGCTTTGATTTTGTTTGTTTGGCGTATCCTGCTGCACTGTTTTTTTTTCCGGCCGGGCAGTAGCGATATATGGCTATAAGTTTCAATTGAGGGAGTCCTTGACAAGTGTATAATTCGAAAGGTTGTCTCGCGTACACACAATGGTTTAGCGACAGTGTATGGTGGCACACACCTAGTATTAATTTAATACATGACATCCATTGTTAAAGCCTATTAATATTGAATTCGGGAAATATACGCCATGGCTTCCCGTTCAAGAACGGCGAGGCACCGTAATTTATACAAATAATAAAACGCGCAGTTCGTTACCAACTAAAGAGGACACGAGTTTGTCGATCATGTACAGACTAGCAGGGTGCCGCTCGTTGCCCGGCATCATACCCCTTGTTGGACGATGCGCTGTAGCACTCAACCGATCGGTATGTTTATGTTTTCATATTCATTTGTATTGTACCTCCAGACGCATTTTCATGCTAATACATATGCACATAATTTTGCATTTATGAATTCATGAGTCATAATTTGATATTAGAGGCAGATACGTATAATCTATTCCGAAAGAGTTCAGTGTTCTACTCGAATCAGAATACAATTGAAGCATTCTTGTATGTTGACCTGCGAAAGTCAAACGTACCGAACAAATTTTCAATTTCAATACAAATCGAACTGGAACACACTCAACAATTCAAGATTCCAAAAATGAGATCAGCTCGCGTTGCCGATGCTGCATGTGCGCACCGAGACGATTGAGCTGGAATCTGTAACTCCCATAGGATTTCTATCGGTTATATAACTAATATTTGTTAAAAACCTAAAGCAGTTCAGTCAGAGGCGTTGGTTTCGGCACGTGCCGCGTCAGGAGCGACCTTAATAAAAGAACCAGACCGCCATTCAGTTCCAAATGCACTATTTGAGCAGCACTTGCATCGAAAGATCAAACCTAATCCGCACTGAATGCCTACGTGTTTCATGTAGCTTCCGTCTCCCGCCGGAGACATAATATCCGCCCCATCGGCCACGCCACCATGCGTCAGTCGGTGACACAGGCAAAGCCAAACATTCCTTTTGAGCATGCTATCCTCTGCGATGAGGAATATCCACACAAACCGAATACTAACTTTTGTCAACCACTGATGGCAACGATATATCTCATATACTCCAAGCCTACAGCTGACTGCGTCAAGTCTGTGACATTTTTCGATTTTTATTTTGTATGTGGTTTGTGGCATCAATTTTTGCGAGGAGTCTCCTGGACCCAGGCGTCACCGAACACATGTTCTACACATGTGTCTCACTTTCTAAGCCATCCGATGCGTTAGAACTACTATCGAGACTCCTCCTGCTGCCGCTACCCATCACATCTTGCCTTGACGAGGTCAACGGTACCATGCTGTCGACTGAAGTTATTGCCAGTGAGCTATGTCTATTTATATTTCCAACTGTATTCTTTTCCTTCCCCTTTCCACTCGAGACGCTCTTACCTGGCATCAGAGCAGGGGTCGCATTCATATCCAAGTGCGCGTCTGAGCTAGCACTAGAATTTTCACGAGCATTCAACGGGGCGATAGCTTCTGTCACCTCCCCCATTCCACCTGGCTTGTACATACGGGTTGCACATCTTTTTAAGGAACCACAATTGCACCCAATACCGTGCACCTTCCCATCATCCGTGCGTTCACCGCCTTGTCGTTTATAGTTGCTGCATTCGTTGCTATGTTTGTTGTTATTTTTCGTATGCTCATCCCTTCCCCTTTGGCCGCTCTGCTGGCCTGGGCTAGGGACGTTTAAATGGGGTTCCTTCTGATTGGTTGCTGTCTTTGGAATACCACGTTTTAACCGTTCCCGCATCCCATCGATAGATCCCTCGTATACATCGACGTAGACATTATCGCCGGCAAAAGGCTCATCTACACATAGTCCGTCTTTAGTTTGTTTGGCTTCTGGGTCCGAGTCGATATGCACTAAGCGAGCATCCGGCCCGCTTTTCTTCCGTGATACAATTCTGCGAGTGAAAGAGGAATGACGTTTGAATATGCTATATCCAATTGTGATAATGCGAGCAATCGCGTCAGTATAGCTTACATGAAATTCAGTACGAATCCAAACATAGAGAAGCACAAACGGTTACTGTTTGACTTCCACAGACGAGCCAGAGTTCAACTGACCCATCGCACTCGGAGTAGCATGCCAGACCATTTTCACCAATAAACGACCTGCTCTATGCCTTTAACACACCTCTTCAGTAGATTACCGCCGCGGCTTTCTTCACCTTTGCTGGACGTGTTCGACAAGCCGCTGTCTGTGGGCTTGATTGTGATACCTGATGTCTGCCCATACGCAACTGTTTTGGTCCCTCTCAAAGTGCGCAGATCCCTCCTGGATGCCAAGTCTTTCGAAACCTGCATAATTGTAAGCTTCTGAGCGATCTGGATTTCTCGCAAGGCCTCCTCAAGTTCGTCAATATCTCGCCTGTGTCGCAAGTTGAAACAAATTAGTTAGTCGGATTATACAGCGAATACGGTGTTTCGTAGTCAGTAATACAGAAGCGTGCATTTACCGATAGGCGGTCCAAGATCACGGCAATTCAAGTACAATAATTTGCAAGCAGGCGCTGAACCCGAAGATTTCCTAGCGCGTAACTACAACTCTTCAAGGGAGATGTTTAAGATATTTGAATTTCTTCTTGACGATCGTTACTGCCGCATTCTAATTTAGAACATGCCTATGTTGAAGGCACGCATGCCTATAATAAACTGTATAAACTAGCAATACAGTACAACGTACAACACAACGCTCCAGATAATGACATTTGATCAAATTTGTAAACGAGCAGGTGCAAATAAACGAGCATCACATATTCATTCGTTGACGTGGTGAGAAGGATATATAAACGAAGCAAGATAGCTGTTATTTCGACATGAATATATGCTCGCACAAAGGAATGAAAATCATCGCTCTATGCGGAAGTCGAAAAACGATCCCTTTAGTGAAGCTATAGCGCAATTGCGTTCCATCATACCTGATTGCCTCGGCTTCTAACTGTAGATCCATGTAATGACGGATCTTCGCTTCTTCGTTTGTTAATCCGACCTATGTAACAATCCGTTGCTGCATTAGTGCATTTCTGGATGAACGTCGGCATTGCTCGATAGTCTACCTACCGTGAACCTACATATAATCATCAGTTGTGTAGCGCGAGTGACCGTGCCTGCCAGTCGCGTATACAGCTGCTGCTGGCGAAATCATGCTACAAACTCTCACGTACAGCTATCAACTCGATGCGAGCATATTGTGAGTAAAACCGGGTACTCCCGCAAATAGTGTGGGCTGACAACGACCAATCAAATTGAGGATCGAGAAATAGTGCGTTCAGGTGACGAAATAGTTTTGCCCTGATGTATAATACGACTTTTTTCAAACAGGCGCACATGCGAAATATATGTACCTCGGGCATTGCCGCTTCCTCATCGTCGCCGTCGGTATCTGTTGTACCGGACTTTACTTTTTTGTTCATCAGCATCCGCTTCTCGATGTTGTACTCCGCTGCAGCCTCACCAAACGCGTGACCTAAAATTGTGACCTGTTCATAATATCATATAACGTTAAAATCTAATTTAACCACCCCCCCCCCCCCCTAAAATGTTAATAGGTTCGACGCACCGTGAGTATAAAATAAAATAAACGAAATACGTGAGAACTACTAAGGTGATATTTCTTTGTAATTAAAATTTCAGCCGTATTAGTATGGAAGAAGTCCAATAAGAATTCACTCGCCACTAACACATAGCCATGGCCATGAGCATGATTCCCGAGAATTCGAGCATTTCGACGCCAAAATATCACTATACAATAAAAAGGATATCGAATCATGACAGCATAGTATCGACCGAAGAAAATATCATAAACTTACCGGAAAGGCTAGGACCACTATGGCACTGACCATGGTTATTGCCGCTACCATCCTACCCAGATTGGTCACTGGGAAGCTGTCACCATACCCCACCGTGGTCAGCGTCACAATACACCACCAGAAAGATACGGGGATGTTCTGGAAATACGTTTCCTCGCCGACCGCATCGCCTCGTACATAAACCCACATGCCGTTCTGGCGAAGGATAAACAAAATTTAATACGGCATACGATTATATATATAGCTGCGGCCTTTGCAAGCAGTCGATTAGGTGATCCTAGGATTGAGAATATACGGATGAATTTATAGTCACACTGTCAATGGATCGACTAGTCCCACATATGTTCAGGTGTCCAGTGTCAATTTCAAGGAGCGACCTCAACAAGAACAAAAGTGCACCTGATTCATCCGGGTCTGGAAATCCGATCAAAAGGATATATAGGAAGCCGAATCGCGAAGCACACTTTCCTATGACATGTTATTAGCTGCAAATACGAACAGGTTAAAAAAAAAGGTCCACGTAACAAAAAATTCACCTACAGCCACGTTGAGGTCGAGCAATCGCACAGGAGTTTCTGAATGATAAATTTAATGTCGAAGTGTATTTGTGGGGTCTACCGCAAGCGCATAGGTACAATCCTGAAGAAGATATTTAAATGCAAGTAGAATTCACCTTGCAAAAGTACAACATATTAAGGAGTATGGATCCGCAAGGCGAGGTTGCATGTATAAAATACAGTGGCGAGTATTCACATAAAAATATATATCAATAAAATTTATCTAGATGTTTCTGTCTGTTCGCGTAATTTTCCCATACCTCATCTAGGTCACAACCGGCTGTCTCGGCGTAAAAGATCAGGGTGCTGTAGAAAACAGTCAGGATGCCCATAATAAAGATCAAGAACATCACGCCATCTCTTCCCTTGGTCATCGCGTTGAGGAACAATCGGAACAGCAAAGAGCTGCGCCAGTCACGAGCGCAAGGTAACAGGAAAGTTAGCAATCTGCAATGCAACATATTTTAATTTTACACAAATAGACATGAATGCGGGGCAAATCCAGTTTGTAAGTACGGACACAATCGCGTGTTGAAAGGAACAATGGAGCGGAAGCGATTCATCATAAGCACACGCGTAAGAAAACATTCATATGCATGATGAATATGTATGGATATACACACATGCTTGACTACACGTCTAGGACATATACACTGGCTTGCCCTCGCGAGGTAAGTATTAATACAGAGGGGAAAGGATACGTAATTGACAGGTAAATCGACCACCTGGAGCGGTGGCGGCGAGAGACTGAAAGCTCAAGTGTCTTTTTAGCATACTGGAGCTCGGGAGTCAACAGAATCGTAACAATGAGTGACGGTAAAGTCAATCACTTTCCTCATGTGAACTTCTACAAATATTGTTTTTCAGAAAGACCTAGTCTGTAATTCTAAGTGGTACAGAAACAGTTTAAAGTTTCCATTGGTGTCGAAGCGTGCCGGACACACAACCTCTACTTTTAAAAATAAGAACTTACAGCTATGCACGCCTTAGATGACAAATAACTACAAATGTACGCAAGGAAATACTAGCCCAAATATATCCCACCTTTTGCCCAGCTTGACTAAGCGAACGATTCGTATCAGGCGCACCACACGTAGGGCAGCTAGTCCCTTCACGTTGTTGGCGCCGGTTTCACCTATCATAATGAGGACTGTTCCAACCAAGCACCAACAAATTATTAATAAGAGAAGGCAATGTTATAAGCCGTGCTTGCATTCAGTACAGTGTCATATCCGTGACAGATGGTATGTCCGCGGCATGTGCACTGGTCCAATAAAAACTCAGCAGCATTTTTTTTTCTAGACCGACCCGAATCGTGTATGACAGATTAGCGCAAAAAAAATCAGAAGAAAACAATACACATTTGCAGATAGACATGTGTCGCGGGGCCGGTATACATCATATAGGCAGAGAGCACCTACCAACTTCGATGAACCAAGGCACGATTGCCATAAAATCTATAAAGTTCAGGAAATCCCACAAAAATGGCTTGAGCCTCGGACAGGTGAAAAGTCGCCCGAAATAGTCGATGATGAAGAAAATCACCACGAAGGTTTCAATCACGAAGAAAAAATTTCCGTTCTCCTGGCCCCAAATCCGGATCGACTGAGTGTCATCAAAAAGATAAAATAAAAAGTGTGGATATAAGATCGATAACCTGCAACTCAATGCAGGCCTAAGATATGGAGGGCGATTTGACTTGAATACGTTCGAACAACCACGGCAGTAGGGGGTTGGGTTGCTCGTTGCATAATTCATAGGAATCAAGTACACTTTCACGCGGCTAGAGAGCGTGTCTAATTCGTGTACTACAGGCACTCAATGGTCGAATAATGAATATTCAAACAAGACCTTACTTCACCCCCCAACCGTACGGATGAATTTTAAAGAGCAAGGGACACTGCGCGCTTACCTCTACACTCTCCAGGATGATATTCAGAACAGACACCAACGTACAGGTAAGGATCCACAACGCCCAGAATTGCGCCATTTGCGACGAGCTACCATCACTTAAAAAGATGTAGATGTTGTATCTTATTTGTTGTGCTCTACTAAGGTCTTCGTACAGTACGGCTTCATCGTCATAGTCGGCTTTGTCGCCCTCTATTCGTACGACGTTGGGGTCATCCCCTACACCTTTAAGCTGTCCATCTCCCAATTTTTCCTGTATTTGCGACGATCAAGGGATAAGGACTAAGCCGACAACGAATTCGTCGCTGATAATGTAGCTATGTATATTCCATGCAAATTTGCATCACCAGAATTGATTTACCAAAGTTCATTCAAACCTATCCCGACGTAGTACGCGCTCAAATCGAGAGTATCAGCGACATAGAAACACACGCACACACACATTATCACTACATATAGAACTATAGAAACATACACAGACAAACATCCCCATTGCGCGCAGGGATACACACTCACACATGCATGCATCGACTGTATCGCACTCATTCGCAGTCAAATATTCGGTAGTGAATGCCATTGACATGGCAGCCGTCAAAACACACACGCTATCTCGCCAATTTGACGATGTAACGTCAATTTCAATCAGACGCGAAAACACAAAAAAAAACTCGCAGCAAAGTATCATCAATGAATCAAAATTACACACACAATACTTCGGTTTCATAGTCCTTTTCTCATTCAAGCGTCGGTGGGGTATGCATCGAATTCAAATGTGCACACACAGGCACGGACACAGAGACACAGAGACACAGAGACGCACACAGACACACGCACACACACGCACACACACACACGCACACACACGCACACACACACACGCACACACACGCACACACACGCAGTCATATATAACGAGCACACTCACACACACGCACACACAAGAAATTCATAAGTATCGCACACACGCACACACACACACATACACAGAACAGCATACGTCATCACCACAATGACACAAAAAGACAAGACATACATCGGCTTCCCCGTACTCATTTTCAGTCAATTGTCCGGTGGTGTATGCCACTGGCATGACACCCGTCAAAGCAAACTCGACATCTTGCCTCTCTTGCGCCATCCGCTTGTCCATTGAAGGTTTTCGGTCGTGTTGTGAACAACGTCTAAATTGAATCGAGGCACGCGTGTCCTGCGATTTCCGCCGCTCAGGAAGCCCAAAGAATATGTTCTCTGCAGACGCACTCGTTAGCCGCAACTCCTGCGATTTACTTCTGACCATGCCGACAGTCGCCGCACTGGTGGATGACCGCCGATTGGCTGTAAATAAGCCATAGCGAATCACGACACAACATGAGACGGCAAGGCAATGAAATTGGCTATGCGAAACAACTAGCGAAAGCCAGATAAGATATGCCATAATACGCCATGGCGATTGCTAGCAAAAAGGAATTGAAGATGGCAGGAAAAACAAGAGGGTATATATAGAAGCTATAGATACAGCACGGTTGCAGAGGGGACATAGCACACACACACACACACAACACACACACATCATATACAAATAATACACACAAACACACGCAGTATTCCTACGTATTCATACACATATACACGAACACACCCACACCCACACCCACATACACACACAATAACACCCACACCCACGCCCATA